CATTCTGCTTTCTATCGAGACAGAACGTCATAAAATTTTGGCCGATTATCTACAACGATTTCTGAGAAGAATATCATTATTTCATTTTTGATCCTCAGTTTTACAAAAACCCAAAATGACTCTGTCTACGTAGTCCAGTGCCAAAAAGTTTACATAGACATTTTATTCAATATTCCTTTAATTTTCTTTTCATGCGAGTTGTTGTTACTTCGCTGAAACGACAGCTAGTTCTAAAATCGCAACATAAAAAGTGATGCGACTAAACGATGTCGCACTGAATTAGACATTATACATACAATATTCCTACATATTCCTTTAATTTTCAGCATTCGCTCGTTTTCCTCGATTGGTCACCGTAAACTTTTTTTCCGATTTTAGAGTGCATTTGATAGTTTTTGGCGAGCAATAAACAAACGAAATGGCGACCAGATAGTGGTGGGGTCAATGATAATCGAGTGTTTTTTTTCGTTTTAGTTTGGTCATCAATTCACCATAACAGAACAACTTTCGTTTTTCATAAAATTATAATTCACAATCCTTGAACTTGAAAACAATCCGAAGATTCATTGAAAATATCACTTACTGCGAAGCGCACGGAGTTTACAGATGTTCAAAAGCCTGTAATGGCGTGAGATAACGACAGCTAGTTCTCAAATAAATCAAATAATTTTAGCTAACATAAAAAGCGATGCGACTAAAACGATGTCGCACTTGAATTATTGGACCTCCCGGAGCCAATGCTCAAAGGATCAAACCCTTAATTTCATTGATATTGAGAGGTCGACGTACATTTTTGACAATGATCTTCACTAAACTCAAATCCGAAAAACATAATCCAAAAAATCATGTGTCAATTCACGAGTTTGCTCATAGAGCACTTTGATCTTTTTTCAAATCATGAAAAATCATTCTTGAATCCTCATTCTTAACAGTGTAGCACATGCTATGTGTATGCTTGACATATCATTTATAAATCAGTTTCAGCATGACCATGCATACTAACGTAAACAATGGCACAGAATGTGATGTTCTGGAGGGATGTTACTAAAAACGATAAACGATGAACGAGGAGGGAAGAACAGAGAACTCGGTCTTTAGAGTAATCTGCCAAGACGGTAAATTAAGCTGTTACTGAAGCGTTTTGACTTGAAATTTGACTTCAAAAGTTTAGTTTGAAGACGATAGAAATTGCAGGTGAGCTAGAAATCGGGTATTTGCATCTATTGGAGAATCAATCATTTCGCCATTTATCCTTTCTAAAGGCGCCTAAACTAAGGGATTTTTTAATCTGGAGAACTCAAACAAAGACTAGAACAAAATTTAAATCACTTTTGGTTCGCTTTTACATTAGGCGATCAAGTGGGAAGCCTTTGTTTCGCCATAGTGTCTTGAACTAAACGGCAAACACCAAAGATGCGTAGAAAGTGATAAGAAAAAGATCTCCCAACTTCCGACCACATTTCGCGTAACAAAGAAGTCTCTTCTTTTTCATTCTGATATGTTGCTTTTGGTGTTACACACGGCTGAAGTTAAAAAGAAATCTTTGAATACGTCTTTCTTAATCAAATATAACGAGAAGTATGTGGGTCACAGTGGCGGAAAATGAAGAAAAAAGCTAACCCTAACCCTAAGCAAAGCAGAAAACAAACAAACAAGGACAATGATTTTATCTACTCACTTTGCCTCTACTTCTCAGTGAGTCAACAATATTGAACACAAAAACTTCTGTGCACTGTAATCTAAATATTTTAGGTTTAAAAGTGAATAACAGCTGAAGGTCTTTTAAGGTTTATCTTTCGTCGTGAACGCCGCTGGTCACGCACACGTCGAGGAGTCCACAAACTTCTTGAAAACTGCTAACTATCTATATAATATAGATTTAGCCAAGCCTAAAAGCGGAGCTCTAGTTAGGTTATTTTCCAGCCCTTCATTATACTGAATAAAAACTGTAATAAAACTCTTCAGCACTGATTGTAGAAGAGTTTCCTCAAGGGGATTTAGAGACCAGGGCCCAGTTGTTCGGAGGCGGATTAGTGCTAACACAGGGTTAAATTTTAATCTGGATTTCTTTACTCCTTTGTTCGAAAGCCTTTTTGGGATCATTTCCTCTATTCTATATCGAGCATCCAATCATCAAATTCTTATCAAAAAGAATTATACTGAATTTCTTTTAAAGCTTTCAGATCTGAAATAAGAGTTCACACTAACCTTTGGTTATCTTAACCCAGCTTTGAACAACCCAGCCCAGTCCGGAAGTTGGGGAGGGGTGAAACAATTGACGAAGTCTGGAACCTGGGGACGATGCTCTCACAACTTGCAAGGCGATCAACACGCATGCTAGTCAGCGGTATCTTTAAACAGCTTGAGATCCTCGTTGTTGTTCCTGATGTTTTGAGCAAATTTTCGAAGATAAAGAATGTCTTCATCTTCAGATGAAGTGTATGATGTCAGGATCAGTTGCAATTATATTCTACTGAGCGTGACTTATAATTGCAGTTGGGAAAATTGAGCCTCAATAACTTTCATGCAGTAAAATACAAAAAAAGTTTCTCTTCATCTATGTGCCCTAAACATTACCGGGGAGGAGGCACGTCAAAGTAAAAACATGAATTAAAAAAGGAGGGCCCCCATTGATTTCAGTCCAAATTAAAGGAGGATCCTTGCCTTTCCAGATTCTAGCCCTTTAAAACTCCCGTATCAATTCCGTATATCAAAGTTTCGTTTGGGTATAAGTATTGATAAGAAATACCATGCATTAATGAAAGCTTGAGAAAGAGTATTTAATGCAATCTAAAACAATGTGGTAACTTATACAGCGAAATTATATAATCACACAATTCCAGACAAAGGAAGTCAGGTTATTGACTCACCTGCTTCAACTTTGAGGGATTAACGTACAGAGAAATAGATATGGCAAACAGTTACAATTTATACAAAGTTGAAAGTTTTAAAGCTAAAAGATATACATTACAGACATTAAACCCTATGCAAAAGGAAATATGGATACCTTTCGAATGCTCAGAAATTGCGTGAATCGTGAGAGTAAGATCTGCCGGACAAAGTACTACGAAGCAAAGGTTAGCCATTTGAGGGAGTGTAAGCCATCCGTGTGGTGGAAAGAGGTGAAAAAGCTCAGCGGCATGTCACCTGCCTCGGAAACGCGGGCCAACACCAGCAAATTACTGCAACACCTAGGTTTTTCACCAGGTGTTCTGGCAAATTACATCAATTCAGCGTTCCTGACCCCAATGCAGATTTTTGAGCCTCTTACCCACAATCCTTTTGACCCACCACAAGCAAACAACGAAGGTCATGCCGTAAATATGATATCGGAGTTTTCAACTTTTATGAAACTATCTGCGCTCAACCCCTCGAAAGCACATGGGCCAGACGGTATCCCGGCATGGTTATTAAAGGAAAACGCTGATCTCTTGGCGGGTCCAGTCTCAGCGATCCTCAACTCCTCGTTCCACGAATCCCGCCTTCCGCCTTCTTGGAAAGAGGCTGACGTTGTCCTGGTGCCAAAACAAAGGCCTATTAATGACATTAACAAGCACCTCCATCCGATTTCCCTCACGCCTATCCTGTCTAAGCTCGCTGAAGATCACATTGTTGAGAAATACGTTAAACCTGCTGTGTTACAAAGAATCGACCCTCGACAATTTGGAACTATTCCCAAATCGTCTACTACACATGCCTTGGTCAATATGACGCATGATTGGCTTGTTAAAACCGACGGAAATGGTGCCACGGCAAGAGTAGTCCTACTCGATTTCCGTAAGGCCTTTGACCTTATCGATCACAGTGTTCTTGTTCTAAAAAAGTAACAACATATGATATTCCGAGTCAAGTCAAAGGTTGGATTGTTGACTTCTTGATGGACCGGAAACAAAGAGTTAAACTTGCTCAGGATTGTCACTCTGAATGGCGCTCTGTGCCATCCGGTGTCCCCCAGGGAACAAAACTGGGCCCCTGGTTATTTCTTGTCATGATTAATTACTTGGACACACCAGTTGACATGTGGAAATACGTGGATGATACATCTTGTTCCGAAATAGTTACAAAGGGTAAAAAGAGCAAACTCCAAGAAGCTGTGAATGACCTTTCGAGACAAGCGAGTCTCGATGGGTTCCAACTGAATGAGGCCAAGTGCAAAGAACTTCGAATTGGCTTTTCCAACGGCAACCACGATTTCGAACCCCTAGTTCTAAATGGCAAACCCCTTGAATTAGTCACCAGTGCCAAATTGCTAGGCGTGACCATTAGCCATGATTTAAAGTGGAACATGCACACCTCTGAACTAATTAGAAAATGTTCCTCTCGTCTCTACTTTTTACGTCAACTCAAGAGATCTGGAGTGGCACCAAGTGAACTGGTGCAATTCTATGTGACATGTATTAGGCCCGTCCTGGAATAAGCAAGTCCTGTATTCCATCGTTCTCTACCAAACTACATCAGTGAAGATTTGGAACGGATCCAAAGAAGGGCATTCAGAATCATCTATCCTGACCTTTCATATAGTGTAGCACTAGAAACAGTTGGCCTACCGAAACTTCATGAGAGGAGAGAAAAGATTTCAATCGATCTGGTTGACGAGATCGTCTGTAACCCCACCCACAATCTCCAAAGCCTCCTCCCCCAAAGGAAGATTTGTAAATACGCAAAAGTGATTTCACTCTCCCCCCATGTAAAACCGAGCGTTTGAAGAACAGTTTTATGTCTATAAGATGTAGAAAATTTTTCTTATTTTCTCTTTTGTTATCATCAGTATTTGTAAATATCCCGTAATTCAGCCTATGGCTGCAATGGTGCTTAATAAAGTATCTTACACGATATCTTACACGCATCCAAACAAAGAAACGGTCAATTACCACCATAACTTCTCCCTAACCTTAATGCATACAGGAAATCATAATTTTTTGTCACAAGGTGGTACTGTACTTACAATAGTTCTACCAACACAATAACATTTTTCTACAGTTATCTCATTGCATATGACTGAACAGGTCATGTGGAAAGTTCCTGTGTGGAGACTGACATTTCAATTACCCCAGCAAACTGTAATCGTCAGAACTGCAAGCCAAGGTTATTTACCAAGTGCTCAAGTTTCCAAATTAGTCACCTAATTGTTACAGTGGAGTTCACTCCTTTTTGAGGCTATCTTCAGCTTGATCATCTTGTTACATGTGAAAACATCAAATTTTAAAGGAAATGATCATCAACTAAAAAAGCTCTTGATTGTTAAACAAATTCTCCTTGTTAGCACCTTAGGAAATGTAGAGACAGTATGGAGAATACACATACTGATGTTAGGGTGTAAAGGATTAAGTGTGATTTTTTTGATGATGTGTACTTTTTCTTATGGACATCTAATTTTATTATCTATCTTTTACCAGCTGACATCTGAGGAGAATCAAGTCCACACTGGTAATTTGACACATTGCAGGCAAACCCTACAACTGATTAAATTTTATTTGATCAAAAACATGAAGGACAATTTTCAATAGGTTTCCTGGAAAAACCGGATCAAGGATCACCGGATCACCAGATCAAGAATCAAAGATCACCGCATCAAGGATCAAGGATCAAGGATCAAGGATCAAGGATCAAGGATCAAGGATCAAGGATCAAGGATCAAGGATCAAGGATCAAGGATCAAGGATCAAGGATCAAGGATCAAGGATCAAGGATCAAGGATCAAGGATCAAGGATCAAGGATCAAGGATCAAGGATCAAGGATCAAGGATCAAGGATCAAGGATCAAGGATCAAGGATCAAGGATCAAGGATCAAGGATCAAGGATCAAGGATCAAGGATCAAGGATCAAGGATCAAGGATCAAGGATCAAGGATCAAGGATCAAGGATCAAGGATCAAGGATCAAGGATCAAGGATCAAGGATCAAGGATCAATTTAAAATGAATCAAATAAATGAAATAAATCAATAGGCATGAGTGATGGCTCATCTACCTGACTCATTTAAGATCTCCCGTATGCTAGAGCGAAAATAAGAAAAAATACTTAATACTGAAAAAGCCGTACCACTTCGTGGAAGTGTCAATTTTCGCCTACTGATTAGTAAGACTGCTACAGAGCAGGTTTACTTGTGCATATGCTATATTCACATGAAATTCCTAAATTATCCCGAGTGTCGGTATATGATTATGTATCTGACTTCCGGTGCAATTTCAAAACACGAAGCCGTAACGTTTTTGGCGACTGCCGGAGTGAACAGCAAATTTTCAGCTGCTTTAACTTTATCTCTTCAAATTTTTACTGACCTCATATCCTTAAAGGAAAAGCAGATGGAATGCATCTGAAGAATCACTTGCTTAGAAGAAGACATTTTAGTCGTTTTTCTGACGGGATTTGACAAGAGACATAATTCGGAAAGTGATGAAATTGTATCGCTCCACTGAGTTGTTGTTGTGAGTCCCCTGGAGTATACATGGAAGCAACAAGTCGAAAATCTCAAGAACACACACTGGAGAATTGAATCAGTTTTTAGTCTTACGTGATTTTTATTTGAAGGAAGTACCTGACGACTAACGAGGAAGAATTGTTTTTTCCTTTTTTTTTGTCACCAGTAAGCACAGCAGGCAGAAAATTTAGTCCCACACTTTTGATCACTTCCGACAAATAAAAGGACCTTGACGTTTGCCGATTCTCTGTTTCTCCATAGCTTCAACAGGGGAACCGCACCAACGGTTAAACATAGTGTGCAAAAGCAGAAGTGCTTAAAAAAAACGTAATGTTTTTAAACTACCTTTGCGCGAACAGATGAAATATCCAGCTCAATTTCAAAGAGAAAACTTGGGAATTATTTATTAGATCGACTAATGCTTGGGTGAAAATGCAAAGAAATGGAAAATAATGGCGATTTTGTTGTCCATTTGCCGTGTCTACAAGTGTTTTAGCGCAGAAGAAAGTTTTGTGTGAATGACAAAAAAAGAAGTTCTCTTTTCATTTCTCTAGTGAAAGGATAAAATTACAGACGTTTGCGTTGTCTATGCAATAAAAATCCCAGGAAACTACATTGGAATCAAGAAGAGGAAGTTTCTTATCTAACTTGCCATCAAGCGTTTTTGGGGGTAGCGTGAAAGTTGGTGGACGAGAGAAGGGCTAAAAAACAACGCCTGACTGTCAACAGAGAGAGATCTTGACTGAGTCACGTAGATGAGCCATCACTCATGCCTATTAATTTACTTAATTTATTTGATTCATTTTGAACTGATCCTTGATCCTTGATCCGGTGATCCAGTGATCCTTGATCTAGTTTTTCCAGGAAACCTTTTCAATAGATCTATTGTATCCGAGTGGAAATCCACAAAAGTAATTCCTTTATTTAAAAAGGGAGAACGTTCCGATTTAAATAATTACCGCCCAATTTCTATAATTCCTGTTGTGGCTGAGGTCTTTTAGAGAATCGTATACAATCAATTTTACGAATATTCAACTGAAAATAATCTAATTTCTTGTAATCAGTCAGGGTTTCGTTCCC